GTATGGAGGAGTGGGCCAAAATCCCTGCTGCAGTGTGTGCAAACCTGGTCAAGAACTACAGGAAACCTCTGATCTCTGTAATTGCAAACAAAGGTTTCTGTACCAAATATTAAGTTTCATTTTTCTGGTGTATCAAATACTTATTTCACACAATAAAATGGAAATAAATTGTTTAAAAATCACACATTGTATTTTTCTGGATTTTTGTTTTAGATTCCATCACTCACAGTTGAAGAGTACCTATGATAAAAACTACAGTCATCTACAAGCTTTGCAAGTGGGAAAACCTGAAAAATCAACAGTGTATCAAATGTACTTGTTCTCCCCACTGTAAACTGCTTTATCAAACTGTAAGGAACCACTTTTGTATTCAAAGAAAACCTCAAAACAAACAGGTTTGAGGCACACCTTACATTAATTGCCACTTTTGGGACCCGAATAAATCTGAACCTGAACCTTATAAAAAGGGGTGAAAGTGGGGCTTGTGGAGTTACAATAAAGRGGAAATCAGACTAATGCATTGCAGTTCCACTTTATAAAGACTCAAATTGAATGAGTTAAATGTGAAAAAGAACGATTTAAAACTAAGGTCTACTTAAAGGCTCAGGAAGCTTCTAATATATAAAAATATATATTTTAAAGCGAAGTAAACATGAAGCCTTTGTAATTTAACAAAAACATGAAAATTGAATAGTGCATTGTACCATTCACTCATGACCAAAAGAGACGTTTGTGACCTTACCAATTATGTTTGTAAAAACGGGTAAAAAAAAGTATATATTTACATAACACGTAAATGAGAAAATCCTTTATCAAATGTCTTTGTTTTGATTTAGCACACAGAACTATAAAAAACCACAATGAAGGCTGCAAACTAACCTTCTTCAGCATCTTATTCTGTTTATGGAAGAACTCCACTTTGATGTCTCCGCACACCGGCAGCGGCTGAGGGAACTCAAAAATCATGTGCTTGTCCTCGCGTCGCGTATGAGCTGGGTTTGAGGTGTGAATCTTCACTTTGAGTTGGTAGACCACAAACTGCGGATCTGCAAAGAACAATGAAAAAAAAAAAACACGTGTCGACACAGCGCAGACATGAGGGGCCAGATTGTAAGATTCGTTTTGGGGTGGGAGGTTGGGGAGGAAGTGAAAAAAGGAGGAACAAAACGAAAAGTGAGGGACGTGGGGAGCAGGGAGAGAATCAAGACAGGATAAAAAAAAAAAAGAAAAAAGTTGTTTAATACGAGAGCTGGACGAAGACACAGTAAAGCACACCACCACCTCCCCCCACTTGGTGAAGTCCAACAGAAAGTGACAACTTTTAGATCAATTATAGAGGCGGCAGGTTAAGTAACAGACCACAAACTGTTACACCCAAACAGACCAAAAGCCAGAGAAACATGACCCTATTCTGATAGACCGATGTGCTCGGCCTCAGACCAGCGCAACTTGTTGCCTCTGGGACAATTTTAACACTCTCGTATTTCCTGTCAGCGTGGGGGGTGGTGCTGGAGATGACTTCATCTGCCTCTTAAGCTCTACCTATCCTGCCAGGCGACGTGTCTACCTTAGAATCCGCTCCTGCCCGGTGGATCTCCAGTGGCCGTATAAAAGCAAAATAATAAAAATAAAAAATATATAAAAAAAATAAATGGATGAAAGGCTCATTTACCCCAATGCCAATTCCCTTTCTTGAAGCCCTGAGGGGTCGGCTCACTCCTGTTTTTAACGGTACTGTCCCCTTAGAGAGAAAGAAGGAAATTGTCACAAGGAGGCCTGGGCTGGCCTGTCAGGGGCTTGACGGCACAGCAGGCATGAACACAAGAGCTCCACACAAATATTAAACAGGTTTTTGCATCTGCATAGTCTCTTTTAATCAACACGGAGTGCGCAGCTTTTCAGGTGTGTGCCTTTCTGACAGTCCATCAGGCAGTGGGAAAGGAACAAAACAGTGAACTCGAGAAAGCTGAAAAAAAAAAAATCAAAAGACAACAAAACATCCTAATGCCTTTGAATTTGTCTCTGATGTTATTTGTAGCAGGAGCATCAAACTGGACTTTTTACTCGAGCTAAAAATCTAAAGCCGGGGAGGAGAAAATAAATAAATAAACCTGCGCACATGTGAAAAAGATGTCACTCAGAATAGGGCCTTCATTTTTTTAAATGTTTTAGTAGAAAAGAGAAGGATCAATAAAGTCAGGGCCGCTGAGCACATTCTAGTGTTAGGGTGAGAAAAGTTACAGACATGGAGAAGGAAGAGGTTCTTTTCGTGACCGACAGCTTGAAAACTGACAAATATAGATACAGGAAGAGTCAAGCAACCTTGTGACTCACATTTAGGCAGATATGTCTAAATGTCCCCCCACCCCATTGAATCCATAAAGTTGTATCAAACCACAAAGATGTTCAAACAGAAGCTATGAAACATTACTACTGGAAGACCTTAAAAATTGTATTCTTTATYGTGTTTAATTCACTTCGAATCGCTACTGTAAATGTCAAAAGACATTTCGCAGCACAAATCACTCGGAACAGGACAAAAAGTCATTAAATCCTGACCGTGGTGCGATTGTATGCAAAACAAAATCACTGACCAAGATTTTTAATTCCTCTTTTGACTTCTGGTGACTTCCTGGTTAAGTGTGCGTGCAACGCTTCCTAATGTGAACCTTCCTCTATCATTAAGTGTGACGAAACTTTGTGCAAATTACTCTTTAATCAAAAAATTCCAATATTTGATGCTACGTTTAATTTTTTTTTCATCATGTTTTTTGGTGTATGTGCCAACATTCAGGTGAGCAGCTAAGGAAACTTGTCAATCAAATAATAATTCAGCTGCAGTTGATTTGAGTTTTACGGCACCGATGCACTGTTCCACTGATGACCCGCTGAGCTGCAGCCACAGAGAGAGCCACAGGTCCGACAGCAGCGCACGAGCCTGGTGTCGGAGCTGAATTTGAACAAAGATGCTACTCACTGCAGGTGCCTCCGCTGAACATGGGGAGCGTTTCAAACACCATTTTGTGGAATAGCAGCGCCACCGGCTTGTAGTCCAACCCTTTCTTCAGTAGGTAGTTGTAGTAATGGACGTATCGGCGCTGGCTCGGGATCGTGACTCCCTGCAAAACACGTTACGGCAAAGACGTTTGGGTTTAAAGGAGACCAATTATGGGTCCTAGAAATGTTTATGGTATGTCTGTGGGCTGTCCAGACCATGTTCATTTAATTTAATGCACAAAATAATTC